GTCTCTGTACACAGAGAGCTGTTACCCTTCCCTTCATAGTTATGACAAAGGCTCTCTCAAATTGTGCTTTCATAAAGGAATTTATGTGCACAGGTATGCAACTGCGTGCTTTGCATGCAATATTAATACTTGTTAACCTTTGTTTAACGATTGTTCAGTAAACCAGCGATGTGTGTACTTAATATTGCTAGATAGCTGCTGGCCTTTGCTACCTGATCCATTAGAGAATTGAGGAGATCTTTTAATCTTTTAGTGAACAAAAACCTGGGAAATTAATGTCAGACTGTTAATGCAAAACTATGGCTGCATGGTTAATCTCTCAAAAGTCAAGAAATATAAAAGTTATAGTTGAACACCCATCCTTTACCATATCCCTTGCATATAGGTAGTCTTATTGGCTGAAGAGTTCATATGTTCTAAGGTCAGATGGAGCTATTGTGATCATCTTGTCCAGGGGTAGACAATGGGCAGACCACGGGCCAAATCCGGACTGCCATACGCTTTTGAATGGACCCAAAAATCTTTTTATTTTGTTGTTTGTTTTCTCTGGAGTCTGGATCTTGACTATACCTTGACCAAGAAATTTGGACCTTGACAAAAAAATAATTGATTACCCCAATCTAGTCTGACTTCTGAAGGTGAAATTACTTGCCTATGGTCACCCTGCAGGTCAATGATAGGGTTGGGAATAGAATCCAGGTCTCCTGAATTCCAGTCTAGTGCTCTGTCTACTAGGCCACACAACATCTAGAGTAGACTGTGACCTGAACACAGGTCCTCTAGACAGCTCGCCACCCTTACAGCTGTGCTGTTAGACTGCAGAATAGGAGGAAGCAGAATACAAAACAAGAATCAAAGCTGATTTGGTGTAATCAAAGCAAGGTGCTTCAGCAAATGAATATTTAAGAGCTGTGAGGTGACTCTCCAGGCCAAGTACGTGTGTATGGAAAAGTGTTGAAAGTATACGCACATACTGCGCATGCTCTAATACAGAAGTGCATAGATTCATGCGGAGTACAGTACAACCTGCTATTTACATTTCAGCGGTTAAACTTCATTGCTTTGAATTCACCTACTGCTGGTGCATTTGGCAGACAAGCTATGGCCCTAATGCTACTATATCTCTCATAGTGCACATCAGAATTTCACAGATGTGTTGGGGGTTAATTTTGTTTGTTTTTTTGTTTCCCCCTCCCTCCCTCCTGTGGAATCAAGTACAAGATTCTCCTTTATATCAATCAGCAGCAGCAGGTCACAGTTGCCAGGATCCATCCAGGGTTTGTGCTCACGGTAAGACTCTGCATTAGAAAATCTTTTTTTCGGTAGTCATATGTGTTTGTCTTCACTTAGACCTGGTCTACACTACAAATTTACATTGGTATAACTATGTAGCTCAGGGGTGTGAAAAAAACCCAGTGTAGGCATCACTATGTCAACAGGCAGGCTTCTCCCATCCACCTAGCTACCACCTCTCGGGGAGGTGGATTAACTATGCCAACAGAAGAAGCTCTCTCACTGACATAGTAGCATCTTCACTGAATCACTAGAGCAGTGCCGCTGCAATGTTTTAAGTGTAGACCTGCCCTTAAGCTTCTGGTACACTGTACTCTGTACAGCAACTAGGAATTGTCACCTTCCCTCTCCTGAAATTTTGTCCTCTTGGCTATAGATTGTAAAGTCTTTGAGACAAGGCATGTGACTCAGGCCCTGTCTCGACTAAAGGGAAAAGTCGATCTAAGCTACGCAATTTGAGTTATGTGAATAGTGTAACTCAAATCGACATAGCTTAGATCTGCTTACCGCGGGGTCCACACTATGCGACATCGATGGGAGAGCATCTCAATCAGGTAGAGTACAGGAATCAACGGGAGAGCGATTGTAGACAAGCCCTCATTCATGTTTTGTAAAATACAACATTCTGAATTCATGGTGCACAACTATTCTTTCTCCTCCTATCATAAATTGCACAAGAAATTTTTTCAACAGTAGATCTCACAGCACTGTACAGTGGAGATAATCCTCATTTTACAGAGCAAATTACATTGCTTTGCTTTTCTTGTACACTTGCAATGGGATCAGAGAAACCCAAATTCACATATGTCCTAGACCAGGGGTAGGCAACCTATGGCACTCGTGCCGAAGGCGGCACGCGAGCTGATTTTCAGTGGCGCTCACACTGCCCGGGTCCTGGCCACTGGTCTGGGGGGCTCTGCATTTTTATTTAATTTTAAATTAAGCTTCTTAAACATTTTAAAAACCTTATTTACTTTACATACAACAATAGTTTAGTTATATATTATAGACATAGAAAGAGGCCTTCTAAAAACGTTAAAATGTATTACTGGCACGCGAAACCTTAAATTGGAGTGAAAAAATGAAGACTCGGCACACCACTTCTGAAAGGTTGCCGACCCCTGTCCTAGACTTTTCTTAAATGATTAGGGGAATGGGGAAAAAATGCCGTGTCTGATGAAGAGAGGGCAAGAAAATGCCTGAGCTCTGTGTGAAATCTGACAGCATGTTTCTCTTTCAGTAAGAATTTGCTAGGTTTTTGCAAGCCTTTCTGAAAGTTTCCATTTAACTTTTCCTCCAATTTCAGAGAGAACCGGAGTCCTGAGTAGGTTAAAAATAGCTATCAGTAACAAGTAGCAGGAAAGATGTCAAGCCACCTCCATCCCTTTATTTGATTTAAGAATAATTCCTCTTGCCCTTTAGCTCCATAATTCATTTTCAGCAAGTTTGTGTTACTACCCATGGACTGAAAGTGATTTATATCAGGTGTTTATAAACAAACATGGAGCCAAAGCAGTGATCTTACTAAAATGTTTTGCCAGTGCTGACGGCATGGGAGCTCAGTAAGAAATTCTAAACTAGATTCTGTCCTGTTTTAATATTGACTTAACAACTATTGCCAAAACTTTCAAACCTGGTATCACAGATACACGGGCTCTGGTCTATGCCCCAGCCTGTAACCAGTCTCTTGGGAGTGACTCCTTCAATGTATCAGGCCCCAAGGACCAGACAGTTCCTCCAAGACTGGGCCTACAGCAGCAGAGATCCTTGTCTCTCTCTTCATAGCTCCCAGCAGCCAAGTCCGACCCCTGCAGGAGGCTTGTAGTGTACCCCTTTGGGATGCTCTCAGTGAAGATGTACAGTGACACAGGCAACCTTTTCAAAACAAGGTCACTATTTTAGTTGCCTGGCATACACAAAATCTGAAAATTCTTAGATTAGCTGCAAGAGGCAGAAGTTACATCATAGTCCATCCTGGCCAAGTCAGTGCCATCAGCCAAGCTGTAATGGACTCTATCCCTTGCTCTGGCTCTCTGTACCCATTTTTTGCCCAGGTCAGAGCTGCTATGTCCCTCCAAAAGGTAGCCCTTATTCCAGTGGTTCCCAAACTGGGGTTCGCGAAATGTTACAGGGGGTTCTCGGAAAAAAATTCCCTAATGGCGGACAGAGCTTTCCTTAGGGACCCCAGGCAGCACAGGGCCAGCAGCCCGGAGCCACTGGATTTCCATGAGCTAAGCAGATCAAAGCAAGCATATCTATCACACTGAGGAGATTTAAACTTCAAGACTCCTTATAAGAAATGGAAAGGGAGGTGGATATTTTTTGCTGTTTTTAAAATTAAATAGGCAGCTAGTATTGTTTTTTTTTTTTTAATTATTATGAAGAACAAGTTTAAGCTTTTTTGTAACGTGCATTGTTTGCCTGGACTGCTCAAGACCTGAATGCTTGTGTAGGAGGAACTCTTTGAGTTGGCTTCTTAAATACCTTCATGATGTTTCACATCTGATACTCCTTGATGAAACATAGGAGCCTTGTCTTATAACAGGCTTATTCAAAGTGATACAAGCTACAAAAGTGAGCTCTTGGAAGAGTGTTGCCATTTTCGTAATGTAATAAAAATACTGTAATGATAAATAATAATAAATAATAAATAGTGTGTAATATGCATGTCATAAAAACAAATTTTATATTTCCCAGATCGCTGCTTTTATCATTTATACTCAGATAAAGAAGAAAATCCCTGGAAATATACATTTTTAGGAGGGGGTTCCTGAGACTCGACATTTTAGTGAAAGGGGTTCACAGGTTGTTGAAGTTTGGGAACCACTGCCTTATTCCAACCACCTGACACCTCTTCCCCTTTGTTCTCCAGTTCAGTTCACATGTCCTGCCTGCTGGGGTTTCCTGTTGTTAAGTGTTGATTGTTCAGTTGCTGTGGGGGGGAGGGTGTCTTCCGGGGGGAGGGGAGTATCTCTTTGTCATCCTGGGTCCACTTTGTTGGTTTGGGTCAGTTTCAACCGCTTCTTTTAATTACCCATTCAATCCATTCTGCCAGCTAGACTGTGTGCACACACATACCTGTGTCTTAGTCTGTCCTCAGAGCAAACTTAATCCTTTTCCTCCTACTGGGTAGCAATGTAAAGTATGGAGGGAAACAGAAATACACATAAGATTCATTTTTTAAAAAAAAAACTCCCAACTGTCACACTTGGGTGCCTAAAGTTAGACTCTTAAATTCATGGTTATGGACCCAAATTGAGATGGGCTGATTTTTTCAGAAGTGCTGAGCACCTATTGGCTTCCACTGATTGTGGGAACCAAGTATGTTTTGCATCTCTGAAGATCAAGCCGCTCATACTCAACGGCCCAAATATAGATTTCCTAGTCTAACTTTAGGCATCGATTTTAGGAAACTGTGGCTTATATGAAGAACTTTGTAAATCGTATATTTAGCAAGTTTTGACGCATTTTTCTTCAGGGTACAGACGCTCCCCGAGTTACGTAAACTCGATTTACACAAATCCGAGCTTATGGAAAAAGTTCCGTAAGCTAGAAATAGGAGGGTGTGTTTTTAAAATCCAAGTGCTTGAACTGAACACATATTTGTAATTTTGAAATGGGACTGATTTCCTTTTCCATAGGTTCAGCCCAACAACTACAGTACATTTTATGATGATCAGAGACACAACTGGTCGATCATGTTCGAGTCAGAAAAGGCAGCCATGGATTTCAGTAAACAGGTAATCTTCTTAAGCCAGCAGGCTGCCCTCTTGCACTAACTCTACCTATGCTGTTGGTGCTGTATCATGTTCAGAACAGCAAACAAAAATCATGGTTGCTCACAATTTGCTAAGCTGCATTCTTAATCAAAGCCCAGTTCAGTCTCATCTCCCCACTAAAGTAAAACTGAAATGCATATTGCAGCTTTGTGAATGTGCTGCGCTTTGATTAGTTGGCATTCTGTTTGGTTCACTTGAATACAGGGTAGCATGTCTCAAATTGTGATACTCCTACTTCTCTAGCGCTTTCATCCAAAGAAGTTAGTGTTTTAAAATGTTAATTAAACCCATCAACACGCTGTTGTGAGCGAAGTGGTTTTCTCATTGTGTATATATAAGCAAAGTGCTGCATAAGGAGATGAAGCATCAGTAATGTTCATGTGTGTAAAGTATATCAGTAACACTCAGCTTCTTACTGATATAGTGAGAAATAAATCCGATATTGCCTGTCTTCAGTCTAAGTGGAATTTATTGTGCTGCTGCAGCTGGCCACAGACAAAAGGTACTAATGTTCGGACTTCCTTTGTAGTTATGCATTGCCAAATGCAACAGCAGCCCTTCACTGGACTCAGTACTGTACCAGGATCTCATTGTTGGAGAGGGGCAGGAATTGGAAGTAGGAGACTCTCTGGAGGTTGCCTATACCGGTTGGCTGTTCCAGAACAATGGGCTTGGACAGGTAAACGGGCTTTTACTACTAGAAATGGGTTAATATTAACCCTTCTCAAATTAAATCATTGGAAGAGACTTGTAATCTCAACACCATTGGATGGCAAAGTATTCTCTCCATCACAACTTACTCTGAGGCATGCATGTCTCTTAGTTTGCCCTGAGAGCAAACTTATTCCTTCCCCCCGCCCCCCGGACAGCAATGCTAAATATAGGGGGAACTGAGCTACACATAGGATTTGTAAAAAAATTACAGAAAATTCCCTTCATAAATTCCTTTGAGTATTGAACAGTGAGGATAGTAACTGGTTCCATATGTGTTCAGGAAGAGATGATGGAAATTCTTGTGACTTATTTTTAATATCAAACATGGATATTTAACAGAAGAGCCATGAAAACAGAACTAATCATCCTGGCTTTGAAAATGTCTTGACCAGGCATCAGGTGTAACTTTATATCTGCCATCAGAGCCTCCCTTCTCTAGAAACTTAGGAACGTTTGAAGATGTTACTCTTAAACCACAAGTTCTGCTTTGTTTAGTAACGAAGTGGTTAGGAAAGGCTTTGAGGGAGGTTGGGAGCTTCTTATTCCTACAAAGTCAGCTTCTCATGCTATGTGAGAAGAATGCTTTTCCTCCAATGAGGCATCCAGATACATAGTCAATAAGGTGACTTCATTTCTTCTTTGGGAAGCAAGTCACTAGGATGTCAGCATAATGCGACACTCCCATGGTCCTGTGGCTCATGATCTCTGCTACTGTATAGATCAGAGATCGGCAACCTTTGGCACGCAGCCCATCAGGGTAAGTCCCTTGCGGGCTGGGCTGGTTTGTTTACCTGCTGCGTCCGCAGGTTCGGCCAATCACATCTCCCATTGGCTGCGGTTCACCATCCCAGGCCAATAGGGGCTGCGGGAAGGGCGGCCAGCACATCCCTCGGCCCGCGCCTCTTCCCGTAGCCCCCATTGGCCTGACACGGCGAACCACAGCCAGTGGGAGCTGCAATTGGCCGAACCTGCCCGGCCCGCCAGGGGCTTACCCTGACGGGTCGTGTGCCAAAGGTTGCTGATCCCTGGTATAGAAGATCCAGGTCTAATTTCCTTTCCTTGCTGTAGGACACTATCATCTGTCCACTTAAACTGGTGGTACTAAGAGTACTAAGGTTATACAGTGGTATAACACTTTACAGAAGTTAAAATCTAGTTGTGTCTAGTAAACTCCCAGAGGTCACAAAGCTAGCAACAGGTGGCTGGGCCCATTGTACTATTGCTACGGCAATCTGGCTGTGTAGCATTTAATTTGATTCAGTCTTGCCCAAGCTGTAGAACTTAAAGTTGCGTTTCAAGCCTGAGTCTCCAGTTACTGCACGCCTACAAAACTGTCCATGTGCAGTTTGTTAGAAATTTGGGGCATGCTGCATTTTTCGTTTTTTTCCCCCTCCCCCTTGATTAGCATTCATTTTTGAAGTTACCACACTGAGAGACACAAGTGGTGGTAGGTATTTATGAAATAAAGGACATTGTGTTTTTTTGTTTTTTTTTTTTTTTTTTTACACATTATTTACTAGTTTGAATACTGCGTTACAACTGCAAACTTCATCAGCCCCATGGTAGGAAATCCTAGTGATTGTACCCTGTTAACCTTCAATTCCATAGGTGTTTGATTCAAATGTCAACAAGGACAAGCTGTTGCGTCTGAAGCTGGGTTCTGGAAAAGTCATTAAGGTAGAACTTCTGGCATTTTACCTTAATCTTCTGTGTACTAAAGTCTCGTAGATCTTGGAGGACTTCTGAAAGTTCTGTCTGGAGTCACACAAACCATAATAACTTCTATTGTATTTATGATAGTATGATAAAACTTGTGCTTGCTTGAAAGAAATTGCTGACATCTTTTTTTAAATCTCTTCTTTCCTTGTTTTGCACAGCATCTTGCATCTATACTTATTGCCTTCCCTTCCAATAACCAAGCCTCTTGTTCTCTCTCGGTAATAGAGAGCGAAGTCCATAGAACTTTCCTGTGCGGTAGAAAGGAAGCTGCCTGTTTGAAAATAAATCTTTATATCAGGAGGTTCCTTGATACTTTTCTGGTGGCAGCACTTCTACCCTGCAAGGCTTCCAGAAAAGTAGCTTCCTTGTGAGGAAACTCGGTTCAAGAAGAATGTATTCTGTTATGTTCATTCATGTGTACAGATCACTTGAAGCTGTGCGGGGATTTTATGAAACTCCTCTGAAGACAACCTCAGCATCATGGCACCCCTTCTGGTCCATCAAACTGGTGCAGATCTGAGATTCTTTCATAGTCGGGGAAGAGGGAGAGGGTTTTTTGGTCTGCTAGGGGCTTGTCTGTGCAGACACTTAGTTTGTGCAAGCTGGGGCATAAATCTACCCACACTAGCCTGCTGTGCCCGAAGTGTAAGTATCTGCATGGACCCTGCTGCTATTGACTACAGAACTTTTAGTGCATGGCAGCAAGATCCACACATAGTGTATAGCAGGTTAGTGTGGGGTAGATTTACACCCCAGCTTGCCCATGAACTAAGTGTTTGTGTAGACAAGCCTCAAGATTTCAAAACCAGTTTTTCCCAATTTAAACTTTAATTACTGCATTAATAGTAATTTGTACTGGTCCTGTGGCAAGCTGGCACTAATTGAAGATGAATTCTGTCATCTGTCTGTTTAAATGCATATCTGCATGTTAATCCAGTAGCTGATATTGCTATAAACGGACTTTTTAATTTGCTCCATTAACTTCTACATTTTTCTACCCATAATCAGTTTCCTTAAATGCTATGTCTAAACCTAAGCATAGCACTTATTTGGTCAGATTACTAACATACAGCAGAAGTTACCAGAGGTTACTCTTTAAAGTATCCAAGTGTTGACCCATGAAAACTATGGATATGTCTACACTCAAACCACTCCAGCAATACAGCTGCAGATGTGCCGCTGTAGTGCTTAGTGTGGCCACTACCTATGCCAATGGGAAGGGTTCTCCTGTTTGTGTAGGTAATTAACCTCCCAGAGAGGCAGTACTAGGTTGACGGAAGAATTCTTCCATCAATCTAACACTGTCTTCCACTCGGGCGGGGGGGGAAGGGGGTTGGCATAGCTACGTCTCTCAGAGGTGGGTTTTTCACATCCCTGCAAGACGTAGCTATGCCAGTATAAATTCCCAGTGTAGACCAGCCTTGAGTTACTAGGCAAGGCTTCATCCAAGCTTCTGGAACCCAAATAGAGGTCCTGGAGGCTGGCTGCATCTCCATATTAAAAATGGCAGAAGGTGCAATCTGCTCCACTGTTTGTATGTTAGGTGTTGTCTTCTGATGCCTAGAAATTAATATTGATACTCTTAATTGGATATCATGGGTCCTCTACTCTAAGGGTTTTTTATTCTAAATGGAGCAATGCTGTATCCCCAGGGCTTCACAAGGAACTTTTCAATATGCATACTGGAACCTTTATAATCTGGCCTAGAACAGCCTCACCAGAATGATTGCAGATATTTTTGTGTCACTGAGTCAGACTGCTGCTTACAAATCAACTTTCTCTTCTTTTGTATTTCTGAAACGTAAAGGGTTGGGAAGAAGGGATGATGGGGATGAAGAAAGGGGGGAGACGACTTCTCATTATTCCTCCAGCATGGGCTTATGGGTCCCAAGGAATAGCCAGTCGTATTCCTCCTGATTCCACCCTGGTTTTTGAGGTGGAAGTTAAGCGGGTGAGTGTCTCCTTCCAAATATATTTTTGTACATCTGGTTTGGGCTGTTGGTTGGCAACACTTATGTCATTTCTACCTGTAAAGTAACAACACCCCTGTACATGAGAATTACAACATAGTTGGAAGCTTCTATATACCTAGTAAAATATCAGGATAAGTACAAAAATATAACTGCATTACTAAGGCCTGGTCTACACTAGGCTTTTATGTCGACTTTAGCGCCGTTATATCGAATTAACCCTGCACCCGTCCACACCAGGAAGCCATTTAGTTCGACA